TTTTCAAAATTGCCCATTGGTTAATCCGAATTTTGATACATTTTTTATTTAGTTTTTTTTTTTGGTTTTTTCGTTAGTTAGGCAATGCTTTAAAGCTTGGGGTAGTGCCCTACTAATGGAAAAACTAAAAAAAAAATTAAAATAGTCAAAATTCAAGTTGACCAAGAGGAAGTTTGGAAAATTAAAAAAAAAATACAAGTTGACCGACTTTCTTTATAATTTTTAGATATAAATGGAGCATTTGGTATTTTAACTAAAATTTTAGGATCCGTACGTAAATCACTCTTATAAATATGACACATAGACTGTGCTCTTGCTTGTGCAGTTACATATTTCAAACCCACAGTAACCATCATGGTCTGCATATGCCTAGGTAGTATGGCTTACCTATTGGATGTAGTCCATACCCCTATCTGTCGGGGTGAGAGCCATCTTGTCACGTCAACCAAGCCACGCTAGGGTTTGCCATATCCATCTTCCTACATCATTTTGTCCAAGTCTTGCACCAAGTCACAAACATTTTTTAAGGACGTGGTTAGCAGCCGACTTGTATATTGTATAAATACGGGCTTGGCAATAAAAATATTTTTTAAATATAATTTGATCCTAAATTTTTTAGAATATATAATTTTTAACATGGTGATCATGAATATAAAACAAAAATACAAATGAAAACTAAAAATAATAATTATATTAAGAAAATATTTGAACTGTTAGTTACAATTGTTTCTAGATGGACCACCTATTTGCATCCATTTCTGGACCGCATATTGTAAAATGCGGTCCAGCCCGCATGAAACAATTGCTTCTTTTTTTTTAAATGGGCAAGCTTTCTATGCTTCCCCTACAACATATAAAACTTATATATTTCCCCTTATCCAACCGTCCATTCTGAATGCAGGGCTAAGATTGCCCCAATCACAATGGCACGTCTCTGCACTATTTTATTTTTAATTTATTTTTATATAGACTATTTTGATATCAAATTTTGTACGTCCAATCCTCTATTAAACTCACACTAGCGAAAAATATAAAAAAATATTTTCAATAAAATAAAATAACCAAAATACTTTTGGAATATTCAAGGGGTATTTTGATCATTATATTTTATCAAAAAATTATTTTTAATATTTTTTATAGGTGCGTCCCAATGAGAAGATGACACGAACTAAATTTCATATCCATAAAATTTGTATAAAAAAACTAAAAATAAAATACTTTGAAGCGTCAGATCTAAGATCAGATGGTGAGTGGCTCTCTTGGTCAAAATTACATAGCTGGATGTTAGGGGAAGCATAGATCTTCTTTGCTGTAGAAAAAATATAGAAACCTTTCCCTTTTTAAATTAGCCAGCATAACCTGGCCTAGCCTAGTTAGGCAATGCTACAAGTCAGAATTTGTGGCCCTAGTAGGCTTCTGGAGAGTTTAGGTCGTTTTAAATAAGAAAAAGGGTTTTTATAGAGACGAGGCTCTAAATGGTTTGTATGCACTCTTTGTGGCTATAAAAGGAGAAGAAAGGAAAGGGGATTTTTCATTACTGATATGCTAGAAATGATGGAGAGAGAGATGAGGGTTTTATGAGGGAAGGAGAAAAAGGGCAAACAATACAAATGGTTCTCCAAAGAAACCTAAGAACGGCTCGACTTAATAGGCTCCCAAATTTTATTTTTTTGCCGAATGGACTGTTCAAAATTACCATACACCCCAATATGGCGTATTTATTAGAATATTTGATGAACTTCTTTTAGCGGGTAAAACTAAAAAAAACCCGCTGGTCTTAACTTGCCAAACATTGTTTGGACTAGTTTCGATCAAACTATATTTTCACCTTGGATTGAAATGGCTATTTGTTGATGATTTGACCGGTTAGACCGCTATTTAGGTCCAATCTTGATAACTATGATTTGGATTCTGGACTCAGCGTTGTTTTGAGTCCAAACACTATTTTGAGACTCAACCAAGTAACTTGGCTTCACCCTATGGAAAAGTCGAATTTGTCCCAAGTACATTATACATAAGTTATTAATATGGTATATATGATAATGTTGCCGATTTTTAACATAAACATTCAATTTACGCACTGGTATGTATGCATTCTCATGGTCCAGGACTTACTTTTTTTAATGATCTGCTTTCCTTTGGTTTAAAAAGGAGTTAAAAAATTTTTTTAGGAAGAGGATTCAAACATAAGACCCCTTACAAAAAGGGTATTACAAGAGTTTACCACTTTAACCAGCATACCATTGGAATTTATTTACAACCTAAAACATATATCTATTACTCTAGTACCTAAAAACAAAAAAAACCAAAATACCATTGGAATTTCTTTACAACCTAAAACATATATCTATTACTCCAGTACCTAAAAACAAAAAAAAACAAAATTGAAAATGAGCGTATTGAATATTCAAATCCAAATCATCTTGCATGAACCCTGAGAGTGGTGGACCTAACCATCAAGTCATTAAAAGCTCAATGTTATAAAATTGAAAGTTATAACATATATAAATTAATTTGTCCGTTGATTTTTTTTTTTTTAACTCGAACTATACTCAAGAGAGTTACTCTGACCTGCCCAAGTAACTCTGTTCAAACAAGGGCTGAGTACCTTTGCCGAGTCAATTTTATGAAATCGAATCCAAGTCATCTGTCCATAGTTGACTAAGTTAGCCATAGACTTGGCGAGTTTTTATGTTGCGAACCCTAAAATATAAAAATTGGCAGTGTTTGCCCAGTTTCTACTGAGAAGCGGCACTTTTTTCGAGTTTGAGTAACTCGTGAGAGTCAGAGTAAACTGACTCGAGTAGAACATCGACTGGAACGATGTTGCTTGCTAAACACTTGAACCCTCTCAAGCTCCAATGCACATTACTCCGTTTAGCTGGCGCGTATTACATACATAGCTGAGTGCATATGAAAGAGAAAGATAATTGCTCAAGGAGTGAGAAATAATTCCTCTATTTTTTTTTTAAATGTATATTCCTCTCTCCCGGTTTTTTTTTTTTGGGTAATTCTCTCCCGTCCCTTAGAACGTTAAACTTAGCATAAGGCCTTTTTTCTATGTTCTTATTTCTATATTGCTCTCTCCCGTTCTTTTTTATTTTTGGTATGTGCTATTATTTCAACGTGGCACCTAAAAAAAATTTTAAAATATTTTTGATAACATTCAAGGACCAAATAACCAAAAAAAACTTTCAGGGATATTTTGGATATTTTATTTTACTGGGAATATTATTTTTTATATTTTTTATAGGTGTGAGTTTAAGATCAGAGTGGATGCTCAAATTTCGTATCAAAATATTTTGAAGAAAAAAATTGCGTGATGTTGTGATTGGGGCCATCTCAGCCGTGTATTCAAGGTGGACGGTAGGATAGGGAGAAGTATATATGTTTTATATAGTAAGGGAAATATAGAAAGCTTGTGTGTGATTACCAAAATATTTTTAAATATTTTAGAGGCATTTTGTTATTTATTATGTTAAACAATTTGTTTGATATTTTTATAGGTGTACGATAAAACTAAAAAGTAAAAAGTATTTTATGCTCTCTAAACGTGGGATTGAAATGTAGAAAGTATAATATTAGGCCATTTTGAAATTTAAAAAATAAAATTTCTCTATAAATTTCCTTCTAAATTATCTCCATTATTTTTGCAAAAATGATGAGAATGCCTAAGATTGGAAATCATCTTATTTAAGAGCAAAAAAATAAGGATTTAATGGAGAGAAGCAGTATAAAAATTTGACAAATACCATATTTATCTGAAATGACCAAATTACCCTTGCATTTCATTGTAATTGTAACTATCTAATATATATTACGATAATACCCCTGATATTTTTTTATGTCGCCAAATTAACCTTACCAACCCATTTCGTATGCAGCTTCACGCATATTTGACATAGGACGATAACGCCCTTGACATTTTTCTTAAAATACCAACTTAGCATTGTGAATTCGATGCCCTCTCTCCAACAATTTAGATATCTTCTATTTTTTTTTCATCGATGTTTTAGAAGCCGGTGACTGGGAATTAGTTGGGCCGATTCGGATTCCCTAAGTATTGGAAACCCACCAGTTTTTAATTTATTTTTAATTTTTTATTCTTTGATACTTTTAATCTTTCTACCTGTTGATCCGGATTTGATCTCTAGAGGGGCATCCGAGTCCCAAATTGTGTTTCTAAGCCTTGTTTTATAAAAATTTCCTTAACCAAAATACCCCTATCAATTACAAAATTGTTGTTGCGATAAGACTAATTACCCTTTTGAAAGTGGCATCTGGTCTGGGATAGAATGGGGTTGAGGTCAAGGTATAGCACCACCTGTGATTCAATTAGCGGTCTCGTTTTCCATTTTTACCAATGCTATTAAATCATAATGTCTGTCTAAAAAAAATTGTAGTTTTCTTTTGGTATTGAACCATAATATCCCAAATAATCTTTTTGAGGTCCTTTATTTGAATAAATAATGGGAATCGGCCCGAGTTTTATCAAGCTTCAGTAACGATTTGACTCATGTGGCTCAAGTGATTTTCGCGAGGGATCAGTCTATATTTATTAAAATTAAAAACATAAGCTAAATATTAGAAAATCATCTTGTACCTAATCCTGATCCGACTCAAACGATTTCAAGTCAGATTGACAAGTTCTCAAGATTTGGACCATGGAGGCCCTAATCATTCTCTCATCATCTCTAATCTACATAATGTTTGTCGGATCATGCAAACGCTTGAGACTAATGAAAAGCTCCGAAGCACAAAATTTTAAAGACTAAAAGCCTTTTTATTCATATTCATACACCTCAAGATCGAGATGATCATATTCATACAACTTTTTTCAATAGATCTTTAAGGTACATCTTACTTAACGTAACACAGTTTAGAATGCAGGTTTAATAGATATCTGCATAGGAGTCATAAATCACCATGCGCACAACAATCGGGCTACGAACAAAGTGCTCACCATCACTCGAAATCAGGCTCCCGAAGGTATAGTCCCCCTACATCTGGTGTACCACTATGAAGATCATCTTGAAAGGAAGCACTTTGGTTGCTTCATTGAAGTATAACACTGCAGGTTCCACTACTACTTTTACACCAGTAGGAGACTCAACCATAGCTTTGTAGATTGAGTGGACCTTACCCACATTGGTAACCTTCCTTTCAATGGCTACTGAAGTTTTAAGTTCAGGAATTACAATAGAGGGTAGGTTCATATTTGGTATAGATGGGGGGTCCTTAGGGCAGGAGATTGTTTTCGAGGCGACAAGTGGATGGCAGAATTGTTGTAGCCCATGGCACAGAGGAAGAGGATATGGTCAGAAATATCCATATCATAAATGAGACCGGGATTTGCAGCTTGGTTAGGGTTTACATGGCCACCACCCTAGTCGAAGGGATCGGCCACCTTGCAGGGAAATCCATCTGCTAGCATTGGCTCTTCATTTTTGTCCATTGTTGTTGCTTCAATTCGATCATATTTGCATTCAAATGTGGGATATATTCAAATTATAGATACATGATCATATATGCATATATCTGATGCTATGTTTTTTTAGGAGAAGCCATTATAAACATTAAATTATTACTTGGATAGACCAATTTTTTTTTAGCCCATTATCTATTTTGAGATAAGCAAGGGTATTTTACAAAGAGATTGCATGCTATAAAATCATTAGCTTTTGGTAAGGAAAAAAAAAAATACTTGTAGTCAGAAATGTGAAATCAGGTGATGAGGTGTGTGTCATTTCTCCCCACTAAATCTAAACTAGCAGCTTGACCAAACTAGTAAACTTCAGGTATTTAAAGAGCTAATCAGTTCATCCAAATTAATGATGTAAAAATTTCCAAGACAACTTGGATTCCCTTGAGTCAGCTTAGCGTCGAGAGCCAAGTGATTCATGTTTGAGGAACTTGATAATTTCTTCAAGTCTTGCTGTTTTTAGCTTTCATTTTCTTTCTTTTTTCGAATTTCATCGTGAAATGGAACGTGATTCAATTAGGGAGTACCCGAGCCATCGTCAGAAAACCTAAACTAAACCCTGATGAGTCAGAGCCTACTTCTAGTTTTTGAAACACTGGTCCAAACTAGTACAATTTGAACTTGTTCCAACTTTCAACTATGAAAATGGCCTAGCATGTTCTTTCTCAGAGGGAGAAAAAGGCAACAATTGGCATAGGAACCAATGGTTGGGTTGTTGACAATTGCAATACTACATCCCAAGTTCAAATCCCATAATTAACATTCCATGACAGAGAGAGACTTACTAGTGGTGCCAAGAGCATATTTTATTGCAGCAGGAGACCAACCAGGATCGATAGACTTGAGCAAAGCGACTATGCCGCCGGCTACACAGGGGCATGCCATTGAGGTTCCCGACATCAACATAAACTTGTCGCTTGTCGAGTCGGGTGATATGCCGCCGGCTACACGGGGGCATGCCATTGAGGTTCCCGACATGAACATAAACTTGTCGCTTGTTGAGTCGGGTGATGGCGTCGTAGCCAAAATGTTGACACCAAGGGCAGCTATATCTGGTTGCGCCATGAAGAAAAACAAATAGATATCATACTATGTCAAATTTAAAAGAGCTCATTCTATGATCTTGTATGCCATTGATTTCATATGATTCGCTCCGCATACTTTCCGGTTTCATTCCAAATACAATTGCATCTTCATCATTGTTTACAAATTTAACTTGGATTAGAATGACAACTTGTCAAGTGTTTACATAGTCATTCCTTTTATTTTTTATGAACAGTTAACAGTTTGTTGTCATTGATTAGAATTCAAAGGTACATCATGATACATGTACAAACTTCATCTTAAATGGGTTTTAAATCCGAAGCCTTGAAAAGACTATGGTTGCTTAGCCTATTTGATTTGTATTTTATGCTACACATGACATGTGTTGTTTATAGAAATGTAATTAATCACCATCTATTTAAAGTTAATTACTTGTACAGGAGTAGCAGCATGGTTTGGAATCCATGATCCTAAAACCAAGACTGGATTTTGTGATCATAATTTTTGTATGAGCAGTTTTAACATGGACAACATTTTAGCTGAAAGGCAATCCTTTGCCAAATTTGTGTCTAAACTTGTCCATTTTTTGTATCAAAAATTTCGAAAGTATAAGATTAATTGCTGATATTGCGACATGAATTTGGTAATTTATTCAATCACCCTAAAAATAAAAAATTGAGCAACCATGTACCTTTAAAATGGTTGGAGATAAGGAATTGGGTCCTCGAGAGGAAAAGGCGGTCACTTTGGGTGATTTTATGCTCCCCACTAATGTCTTTGAATGACGTAACTTCACCATAGGAGAACTGCATGCCATTGATCTTTTAGTTCGAGTTTCATAACTTGAACTAGGAATTAGCAATTGTTTTCAAATGTAATTACACAAGTAGCATAATTTTCAAGAATTTGATAGGTTGGTAACCAAAACTCCGATTAGGAACTTTGTACCCAAGTTTGTAATTCCATTTTCATTTCAGAAAAGGTATAAAAAAATTCATAAATGATATATGCATCTACTTCAGTGAGGATGGCTTGAAAATCTCCTTAATTTATCTTAACTCTAACGATAAAGAATTAAGTATTCGCAATATTCTTTCTTTGAGGAGGATTAACTTAATTCCACAGTTCTGGTGTGAGTAAGGTAATCATCTCCTATGTTGAACGCTCTTTATGCATTTTGCTAAAACATCTTATGTTTTGAGAATCATATAACAGGTTGTTAAATGGTAATATGTAACTCATTACTCGTATAAAAAAAAAAGGAGAAAAAAGAAAAATGGGTTAGCAATGAGACTCTTAGCTCATTGTTGTCTATCATTAGGCAAGATATGGCTACATTGATCAACTGTAATCTATTGTAGGCTAAGTACATATGATTGCATTGATGGAATGTTTAACATAGATTAAAAGGCCATGTATTATGAGAATTTGCAATTCAAAAGTCTTTTTTTTATTAAAGGAACCAAGTTATTTATGCCCTATAATGAGTGGTAAAATCATCACTATTGAAACAAAATCTTATGTCTATGAAACATTTGGGGACCATTATGCAATGATTAGTATAATCATTTACCATTTAAATAGGTTCTCGCACTACGTACAACTGCAATGGAGATTGTTGTTGGTGTCATGATTGTTATCTTGCAACAAGACTATCTTTATAGGTATGTTTCTTTTTGTCATTATCATCATAGAAGCAGTTTTCTAATTCATTTGGGGTAGGCTACACAAGTCTTTGTCCGTCATTTTGCTCTATTAAGAGCCATACCCTCAGTGAAGCCATAAGTCTCCATATCTGCTCACCATACTTCAAAAGGTAAATAAGTATACTACTACAATGATGTCTAATGGAGTGGTGAATCCTCACCAATAGAGCGAGCTACTATTAGAGCAACATGTTTAAATGTCTTTTGTGGCACTAAAAATCTCACATGAGAATTTCCGAGTGGTAGAGCCTATACTATTTTTATTATAAGATGGTCCATAAAAAACAACCTATTGTCAAAACCCTAAGACATGGTGTTCAACAAATCATGTCCAAAAGAGTATAAACCTCTCTCAGAGGCATGAAATGGGTTAACCCATGGGCCTTAAATAAGAAACAAGGAAGTTATGAATATGTTATTAAACTGTCTCATCATAGGAGAACCATTTGGCTTATGTGAGAGTCACTTTTTTTTTTTATTAGATTCATTAATACAAGGATGTTCCTTATTTGTACAAATGAACTTAGATGTAAACAAACAATGTGGCTAAAGTCCCTTAGAACTCCTCCTTGAATCCAATATCAATAAAAGAAACTCAAGATCCTTAACGATCAAGAATGAATCCCATTTTCTCATTAGTGTATTCTCTAGTTTTGTTTCATTTAGAGTGATTTTTTTCATTAAAATCCTTCAAGTACACTTTTGGACGAATCACAACCGCATAATACAACAATGTCGGCAAGAGTTACAGCTACTTGAACCAATGATCCAAAAACCTTAGGCCGTGACTTGGAATCAACTGAGTTGGATCAAAACTAGGTGGACAATTTCAATAGAAAATCCCAGAAATCTCCCAATACATCAAACTTTTCCGTTTTCCTTGTTTATATATTATAACCTAGTCCAACTACTACTAGAATCAAAATCGGACCTCGCCGCGTCGGGGCCCAGTTCTAAATTTCTTAAACATTGACTTCTCTAAGCGTGAAGTCCATTATTTGCTTGCTTAAAAACAAATGAACTCTATATCTCAACTATCAATCCATGAGAATTGATGGTTCTGAAGCATATAGGTATTGCATTTTAGTTTTTAAAGAGATAATGATCTTCTAGAAGGACAAAATTCTAAGATAGAGGGTAAGATACCTTGTAAAATATGATAGTAAAGATAAGATACCCTAAAAACATAAGAGAAAAGCTTCCTGGGTTGCTGGCGGTGGAAAGTGTTAGAGGTGAATTGGCTAGCTAAGTTAATCGATACATGAGAATTGTAAGGGCCGGTTAGGATGTAATCATTATTATTGATAATTCATTATTTCAATGAAGTCAGTCTTGATATTAAGTTATATGTTGCTATCATAAAGTTATTTGAGACAAACTTATAGGCAAATTTACATATAAGTTTATCTTTTTGAGATATTGTTTTTACTTTATGTAAAGTAATTGTTGAACATCATATAATCTTAGCCAGAAATAACTAAAAATCACTATAAAGTTAAATATTGAAATACACCGCCCATAATACAAGATACATACCAAACAACTAAAATAAATAACAATGTCCTCAGTATGTATTAATTCTAGATGGGGTTATATATTCCACAGAAAATTAATTATCATCCAAACGTGCCCTAAGACTTGCCTACCAAAAATAAAATGAAAAATAATAATAACAATATGGGAATCTTTAACATGAAGAGTACATAAAGGAAATGACTTACTTGGTGGATAGCGGACTATTTAATATAGACAAGGATAGGTATATGCCAGCGTCAATCTAAAATTTGCCTTTCTGACACGAGACGTCATTTAAAGAAAGGGGGAGGTGTAGTTAGGTCACATTAAAAATCTTTATGATGAGAAGAAAATGGACAACATATATAGAGAGTAGAGACACACAAAAGCAAACAACGAAGACATAATAAGTTTTTTTGTAAGTTTTTTATTCACATTTCAGAATGAATAAGCATTTCATAACTAAAAATAAATAAATCAAATTGTAAATGATTCTATAATAAAACAGTCTTTCTAAGGAGTGAAATTACCTGGACTCTTGAATGTAAGAAAGTATTTGAGTGCTAACTTGAGTATGGGTGTGCATGGAGTTAAGAGGGTGTTTGATTGTTGCACAAAGATGACACCTATTGCCCCGGTTGAAAGAACTGCTTGGTACAGTTCATTATCCACAGATGTGAAACGGAGAACAACCTTCCTTGTAGCTGACCCACACCTTAGATGTCCACTCGAGCATTTTCTGCATATTCTTAGCATAAGAAGTGCCCTACTTCCTTCTAAAGTTAAAAAAGAAGAAGAGAGTAATTGCTCTGTGTGAATATTATAAGAGTAATGATCTTATGAGACCCTCTCTCACTTATGTGTGTAGAACCCTAAATGATCACCATTAAATTTAGCACAGATCTCTAGAAATGTTATCACATGGGTGTGGGACTTGTCTTTTTTAGATATTTGTACCAAATTTAATGGTGATCATTTGGGGTCCTACACGTATGGGTGTGGGAGGGTCTCACAAGGTCATTTCCCATATTATAAATACCTAATTTTCTTAAAACTGATACACATTGATCCACTGAGGACATTGGATTTTAGAATAGTAAATTTGCATAAGGAAATATATAAGATGAGGTCATTTAGTTTTGATAAAAGAAGGTCACAATCATTGTCAACCATTGCGTGTGACGTCGGATAAGTGGTGATGTATTACGAATTAAGCACGAAGTCCGAAACAAGTTTCTTGAAAGCTGTGATATATTTCAATGTGGTAAATTTTACATCTAATGACAAAAAAAAGTTGTGACCTTCTTGTACCAAAAATGAATTGTCTCATAGTACACAATCCCTTTACAAAAATATCACTCCAACTAGATCCTACAAAACAAATATCTTTACACCTTATAAATCATTTCCTGCCCTTTAAGTCCCATATGCAAAATTGATCATCTTTCAAAACTCCAAACCATTTCCAACAAAAAAAAAATAAAAAATGAGAAAAAAAAAAAAGAAAAAGAAAAAGAAAAGAAATTTTTTTTAAAAAAAGCAAAATTGGTTTTTAGAAGGGACAATTTTTGTTAAATCACAATGATTTTAGAGGGTAAACTTGTACTCAAAATACTAAAAAAATAATAAATGTATCCAATACATTCTTACATGGCATGAAAATATCAAATAAACAAAACGGTTGGTCATTTTTTTCAAAGGTTAGGATAAGATTTGAAAATGCAATGTTGGACCATTATATTAGGATTTATGTCACGGCTGAGTAGGCTATTGACAACTTACCTCTTCTTTTTATTTAATCAGTCCCATTTATCAAATATTAAGGTGACCTACCCACCATTTATGGGTTTAAAAAGGGTGAGGTTTCCCACCATGGAAACTTTACGATGGATTGAAAATTTATATTCGACCTTAGTTATGAAATTTTGAATTTTAAAAATAGAGCAAATTGAGTAGATATATAAATACTTAAAATCTCAAAAATAGACGGTCCAAGAAACTTGTAAGAAGATACACTATATTTAGGACTTGAAATTATAATTTTTCTATATATCCAAACGTTTTGAGACCGAGATGATCAATTGGAAGGTTTACCAACTTTTGTATACTTTTTTTCTACTTGATTTTTGAGGTTCACCTTAGTTCTACAGTACAAAGTTGCAAACTCGTATGAATGTTTTCTTTTCAAAAATTGCAAAACTAAGTTGTGAATTAGGTAGGGAAGCCCCAACATAAGCTAGGTTTTGGTCCCTCAAGAGACTCTTTGGACTGAGCCAGGCTTCAATTTGTGCAATATAAGTAGGACAAATGGACCATTCCTATGTTTTAGTAAGCTGGGCCCAACACATCTTAACATTGTCTCTTTCAAGGAAGAATTGAACCATGGATTTTTATTACTAGACCTTAAATTTTTTAAGAAAACATAGTTCCAATATCAAAAAACTTTCAAATACATTATCTCCATCTTGATTATTATGGATCTGAAAATAAAAAAAATGTAATAATAATAATAATAATAATAATAATAATAATAATAATAATAATAATATAATAATAATAATAATAATAATAATTCGGGCTTGAAAATAGTCAATCTTGTAAAGCTTTATTTAAACCCCGTTTTAGGTGTTTACAAATCTACCCCATTTTTGAAGCTTCAAATTATGCAGTAATAGGTAGAAATGAATTGGCATGCCTTCACAAGGTTTTCCAGCACTCAATCTGTCCTTTTCTTATTAGGTTTTAAGCAACATCTTTACCTGGCCTCAATTTCAACGCTATCATTTGTAGCAAGGCTCTTTGAGTAGACCAACACAAGAAAGGCTTTCAATTTTTTCTCAGTATTCATGGCCTGAACCTGCATCAAAACGATCAAATAGCTCCTTTAACAATTTGTTTTCGAAGAGTAAATTCAGATTCTCCAAAAATTTGAATACCCAGAATGTATGATTGTTCCCCAAAGTGATGGCAGTGGGGAATGTACGATCCATGGTGCTAGCAGCAACTGTTAAGATCCAAGGTGCAATGTCCTCTACTGTTTGAGGTTGAGGGCCAGTATTTCCCGCTGAACATACGACCGTGATTCCCCGAGCCACGGCATGGAATGCACCAATCATTATGCCATCGGGACCTTCATCCACATAAGAGTAAAGCGGTGGTTCGGAACCGAGGGCAAGAGATACCCCATCAGGGATTGCATAGTCAAAGGCCTTCAGCATGTCAGCAGCACTAAGGGCCCCACCCAACCAGGCAATCTTGTACACGGCAAGCCGAGCAAGCGGTGCACCACCCCGAGCCACCCCAACCACCAGCCCACGAAGCATAGCAGATGTTGCTGGAGAGCTCACCGCGGTGGAGGCAGTGTGGGTGCCGTGGTCTACAGAATCACGAGTAGACAATATCTCACCAAGAACAGTGGGCAGGGGTGCTCCTAGCTCGGCTTCTAGCCCTTTAACCGACCAATGGGCACCAATGAGCTTGCGATTACAATTTGATGAATTGAAGTGCTGGCCTGGTTGGCAGATTCCCTTCCATCGGTGTGGGATCGGACCCATGCCCTTGTCATTGAAGCTCTCTGACTCAGGCCATACTCCTAGAACACAACTACATAACAGTGAGTGCTTTAGTTAGGGGATGCAATTTCTATATGGCCTAGGCCTTATGAGAAAATGTAAAGCCTCACCTCAAAACCTTGTCACAAAATACTTATGATAGCCTTAAAATTTATTTAAAATTCCTGATTGTAGAATTAAAAATTAATACGGATCTCTAGGATCGATGAACACTTGAAAATGGAGGGCCTTGATGATGTGATACGATTATGGAAAGTGAAAATCTTTTTGTGAATTCCGAATATTATTTATCCACACTTTTCAACCTGAACCTCAGGAACTTTTGAGGTGGTTGAGAGCTTCAAAAGGTTCCTTGCAGTCACCTCTTCTCTAAAAATAACATGTTTAAAAAAATGAATGAGGTTTTTATAAGGCTAAGGCTTTATAAAAACAAAATGAAGCCTCACCTCAAATCTTCATCTGAAAAGCACTTTTAGCAACCAAAATCTCTACGATGGCTCTAAAAATCAATTTTCGACATCGACAATGGAATTCAAACTCAAGAAATGGTACAAATCTTATGGATCAATGAATACTTATTTTTATGACAAAATAGATGGTCTAGATAATTTGTTACAATATACACTATTTTTAGAGCTTGAAATCCTTATTTTTTTTCACAACTATAACGTTCAAGCCAGGATCATTGATGTGAATCTTTTATAACTATTGAATTGCAATTTTCGATGTGTTATGATATGAGTCTTTACTTATTTTGGTAGGGCTCCACCCCTGTGAAACTATTTTCCTTAAAAAAAAAAAAAAAAACAAACAAACTTGGAGCTCCAAATGAATTATCACCGTCAAACTAAAATCTAGGACATCTATTTAAATTAGCAGTAGACCTAAGACGTGTTTGGTTACCTGGATTCAGATTAATGGGACTCACATTTCAAGAAAATGTGCCAAAAAATCATGTTTGGATGCACTTTAATAGAAAAATTCACATTTCTACAGGAATTCGCTATTCCTCCTTTTAAGCCAAGTAATTGGAAATGTTAATTCCATATAAATACGTGGAATTTGAGTTATAATTTCTGCGGTAAGTTGTATCGGACAAATTATTGGGGTGAACGAAATGACTCTTGCTCGCACCTGCGTGAAACCCTCTTGCTATAATATATAAATAATACATTATAGAAATATTATATTATTTTATATTATATAATATTAGATGAAATACATTAGTATAATATATTATTATAATATAATACATAATATAATATATATGTTACTATAATGTACAATATATATAGTATTAGATGACATATATTAGTATAATATATAACATATTATTATAATATAATAAATAATATAATGGATATGTTACTTGATATATATTAGCATAATATATAATACATTATTGTAACTGATATTATATACGTGTTACCATTATATAATGGGTGCGGTTTGTATAGAGCATGGCTTCTAAACAATCAAATTAGAGCCAACCTTCAAATACTGTTCAGAAATGTCGTTTCAATAAATTTTTGTGATAGACTTAAAATATATTTTTATTTTTATTTACGAAGTTTAAAACTCCGAAAATAGTATAGATCGATAGATTTATAAAATCTTGAAAATTGACGGTCCAAAAACACATTACAAAATATACTATTTTCAAAACTTGAAATCCATTTTTTTCTCATGTCCATGCATCTTGATGTCGAGATGATCAATTTGAGGATATTTGGGCATCAAATCAACCTCTTTTAGTGAAACTCTTATTTGATTGTTAAGAGCCTCGGCTCGATATAAACTTTTCCCTTATATAATATTAGAATATATATGTTATAATAATATTATATTATTATAATACAACAAATAATATAATATAATATTATTTATTATATAATATAACATTATTATATTTCTATTACAATATATATTCCATATAATATATATTTATTATATTATATACAATATACAAATATCATATATTATATTATATGTTATACAATACAAATATGCATTCATAAAATAAATATAAAATGCATTATATTATTTTATATGTGAATTTATGCATTATTAATATATATGTGTATTATATATAGTATACATTTATTATGTTGTGTGTGTCTATATATATATATGAGTTTGTCTAGAGTTAACAACCCCTCAAAATATAAAGATTCAAGTTATAATACGTTGTGATGGATGTATTTATCAAAACAATCATTATTTTTTATTAAAAATTATTTAAATAGGTAATTTTACCATTAAGCAGTGACAAATTTGAAATTTTAACAAAAATATGATAACATTTTGAAAGTTAGTATCCTAAAATTTTATTTATAAAGTGCCCTTGTTTTTTAGTTAAAATTTCAATTTTACCCTGTATGGACAAAAGAAACTTTTTTTAAAAAAATAAACTACAAAATTTAATAAATCTACTCTTCACAACTGTCTCTATCTTGAACCTTTGTAATTTGAACATTTATATATATATATATATATAGAAACGATTTTATACGCGTAGTCGCGTAGGTGGCTGGGAAACGATTGTATACGCGTAGTCGCGTAGGTGGCTTGTTTACGCCAACGGTTCTGATCGTGCCCCTCAAATGGACGGTCCACTTCAAAAAGCTTCTCTCCTGGAGAGCATCTTCTGCAGCGTGCCCTTAAGACAAGCTTCTTACTCAGGGCCACTAACTACACTCAAAGTGCTCTCTCTCTCTCTAGTTGAAGCACACGCCTCTCTTTCTCTTATCGCGCCCCTCTCCGTGAACCTGAAGCACGCTAGCCCCCTCTGTGCCCTATCTCTCTCTGCAACTGTCCCTTTCCCTGCAGCTTGCCCCCAAGACAAACTTCTTACTCAGGGCCACTAACTACACTCAAAACGGTCTCTCTCTCTCTCTCTCATTGTGGCCCTCTCTGTGAATCTGAAGCATGCCCCTCTCTCTCTCTCTCTCTCATCGGAAGCCTGCCCCTCTCTGTGAAATCTGAAGCACGCCATTTCAGGTATGGATGCTATTTTACTTGTGCTTCTTATGGATGCCATTTTACCATGGCCATTTTACATTTTACTGATGCTTCTTATGGATGCCATTTTATCAAGGCCATTTTACATTTTACTGATGCTTTTTATGAATGCCATTTTACCACGATTTCTTATGGATGAGTGATTTCATTTTAGTGATGCTTTCTTATGGATGAGTGATGACATTTTACTAATGCTTGCTTATGGATGAGTGATGTTTCCTTATGATCTGTACATATTAATTGATCACATAAGTTTTTGCCACATTTGGGGGTTTCGATTTTTCAGTGGTTGAATGTCTTACACAGGGCAACAAAACTACGATCCTAGAACTTTCTTTAGAAATTGGTATCTCACATAATTTTTGGCCTCATTTGGGGTTTCGGTTTTTCGGTGCTTGAATGTCTTACACATAGCAACAAAACTATGAGCATAAAAATTTCTTTAGGAATTGGTATTTAACATAATTTTTTGCCACATTTGGGGATTTCGATTTTTCAGTGCTTGAATGTCTTATACATAACAACAAAACTATGATCATAGAAATTTCTTTAGAAATTGGTATCTCACTTAATTTTTTGCCACATTTGGGGGTTTCGATTTTTAGTGCCTGAATGTATTACACAGAGCAACAAAACTATGGTCATAGAAATTATTTAGAAATTGGTATCTCACTTAATTTTTTGCCACACTTGGGGCTTTCAATTTTTCAGTGCTTGAATTTCTTACACATAGCAATAAAACTATGATCATAGAAATTTCTTTAGAAATTGATATCTCACTTAATTTTTTGCCACATTTGGGGGTCTTGGTTTTTTCAGTGATTGAATGTGTTACACAGAGCAACAAGCCTATGAGCATAGAAAGCCTATAAAAATTGGCATCTCACATAATTTTTTGCCACAATTGGGGATATTGGTTTTTCAGTGATTGAATGTATTACACAGAGCAACAAAACTATGAGCATAGAAATTCTGTAGAAATTGGTATCCCACATAATTTTTTGCCATAGTTGGGGGTCTTGGTTTTTCAGTGATTGAATGTGTTATACAGAGCAACAGAACTATGATTATAGATCTGTTTTTTTGGGTTTTTTGGATGAGTGATGCTAGATAGATCTGTTTTTTTGGATGAGTGATGCTAGCTTAAGGACTTTGTTTCGGTTTTTCTTTTATGGCACGAGCCTTGACAAACTAGATTTGGGGGTCTGTGTAACACAATCAGTCTGTCAATAATGAGGCTTGTTTTGGATGAATTATGCTTAGTTTGGGGATTTGTAAAATTGTATGTTTTGGGCCTGATTTTGTTCTTAGATGAATGATGCTTAGTTTGTGGTCTGCAAAATTGTATGAGCTCAAAACCATTTTACAAAATGAATCAGGCTTTGTTTGGGGTTTTTTGATGGTACGAGCCTTGACAAAGTTGATTTGGGGGTCTGTCAAAATGAATCAGTCTGTAAAAAATTAGGGGTTTTTTGGATGAATCATGCTTAGTTTTGGGGTATGTAAATTGTATTTCTGCAGGTTGTGGTATTTTTTTGTTTTTCATGGATATATTTAGATACATTGGAGTTAATCTCCATGTCAAGTACTCACAAGAAAAGCTCTTTGTGTGAGTTTTTTTTTTTTTTTCTATTGGTTACTTTAGTATTTGATTGTGCTATATAAGAGAAATTCATTTCCGTTGGATGCTGGTTTAGACCTTTGAAGTACATAGCATGTCATCAGTTTCCACAAGTGACGGAGGATATCAATGGCGAACTTGTCCACAATGCAATTTACAATGCAAATTAAGTAAATCAAGCTCTCGATCTAACCTTGGAAGAATGTACTATTGGTGTGCAAGTTGTACACTTTTTCAATAATACGATGCATATATTGAAGGGATGAATTACAATATAAACTTGAGGTGTCGTGATATACACCAGAACAATCAGTCAGAAGAATCGCAAGAGGGTATTATGGTCAAGCTTGAACCGATGGTCATTCAACAACAAATTATTGATACTTTAGGGCAGTGGTTTAAAAAGCGGATCGGTGACCTGAATCGGGCACCTCAAAAACCGATTCGGATCGGGGAATCGGCTGAATCGGTCAAATTAAAGCTTCAAAAAAATCCGAAAAAATTATTAAAATTCATTAGAAATGTTGTTTTTTAGGAATCAGTATGAAATGAGGGTACTACATTATTAACTTTCATTTTTTTCATCAATTTGTGAATATTGAGATGCTCTTTCCCTGTATAAATTAAGTATTAAATTTGCATCACATAAAAGAAAAATCATAGAATTATCATGGATAAAATATATAATTATACATGAACTATAATAAAAAGTAGACTAAATCAATGAAAGAATGGCCATT